AGCTACAAAGTTCAAGGCCAGCCTGAACTACACAGGGAGACCTTGTTTTAAGAAAACAAAACAAATCCAGTAGTGGTGGCACATGCTTATAATCCCAGCACTCAGGAGGCTGAGGCAGAAAGATCACTGTCTGCCTGGCAAGTGCCAGGTCCTAAGTTTGATTAGGACTATCCACAGAAAGAAGAAAGAAAGAAAGAGAGAGAGAGAAAAAAAAGAAACATACAAACAAAAACCCAACAATGAAATGGGTCTGGCTGTCCCAGCTCTGCCAGCCAACTGTTCTTTTCTGTCTCCCAGGAAAGAGACCAGGACTCTGAGTTCCTGGGGGCCTGGGCTGTGCGCGAGGAGGGCCTCTTCCCAGGACGTTCCAGCAGGAGCCAGTTCTCCCAGGTGGTAGCCTACAGGACCCTGGCCTGGGCAGGCCAGGACACAACAGCTGCTAGAGCTGTGCATGCGGTGGGACAGGGGCTGTGCGCTGAGGCCAGGCGGGGGGAGGGGGGGGGTCCCTGAGGAGGGAACAGCCAGGCTGAGACCTGACCAGTGCAGGGTGACCTGGAGTTTCAGAGCTGCGAGAAGCCTGCAGCCACACCCCATCTGTGCCGGGTGGGAGCGGTTGGTCGGGCCAAGTCAGGCCAGCCCAGCACCAGCACCAGAACAGCGGGAGCCTGGCACTGCAGGCCCGGAAAGGGCTGGCGCTGTGGAATGTGCGCGGCTGGGAGGATGCTGGGGAAGCTGGGAGAGTTCAGCTGTTGGTGATTTCACGCCCCCTCCTCAGTCACTTCTCGGACGAGCCCCAGCCGCGGGGCCCAGGTGCCCAGGAAGGTCAGGTTTCGATAGCAAGAGAATGAAAAGGAGATTTCCTCTGGAGGGGCGAGCCCTTTTCCCTGGAGAGGGCTGCAGCTGCCCGCACATATACTCCAGGATTAGGCCAAATCCTACAGCAGGTGGGTGGGGGTGGGGCTCCCAGTTAGGGTCCTGGGGCTGTGGGAAGCAGTGGGCAACTGAGGGTGAAGGGTGTACAGGCTTGATTATGTGTGCATCGGACCCTGCCTGGACTTGGTAACCTGGGGGTGGTCACCTTTGTCCCCTCAAACACTTTACTATACCCAGTGCTGCTCTGGATGGGGGCTTGGGGGCAGGGAGCAAGGAAGGTCACAGTTAAACTGGATCAAGAGCTATGCAGGCCAATGAGGGGGGGCACCCGGGAAGGATGTCACAGTTTCTCCCGGTGAGGGGAGAGACTGGGAACAAGGGTGGGGGCTTGATTCTCACTGAAAAGAGTTGTTTGTTCCAGTCGAGCCCAGGGTCTCAGGCAAGTGTTCCACCACTAAGCTACATCAGCTGCCATTTGTTGAAAACATTTTTTTTTGAGACATGATTTTGTTATGTAGTTTAGGCTCACCTTGTACTCACTATGTAGCCCAAGCTGGCCTCGAACTCGAGCTACCCTCCTGCCTCAGCCTCCTGAGGGCTGGTATTACAGGCATGTACCACACCCTCGGTTTCTATAGTGACTCTTTAAACTGTGGTTTGCAGGTATGCAGTCCCCACCTCTCCAGTAGCATCTGTATCACCTGTGAACCGACTAGAAATACAAATTTCTAGGCACACTCCAGACCTACTGAATATAAATGTATATGGCAGGACCCTCCAGGTAACTGTGGTGTGTGTTACAATCTAAGAGTGACTGCTTACAAAGACACTATCTAGAGGCTAAGTGTGTAGCTCAGTCGTAGAGCAGTTGCCTAACATGTGTGAAGCCTGGACTTTGATTCTCATACACACACAAACAATCCCCCAAAATTTGAGAGCTATCTAAGGTGTGCTTGCTTCCTGGTGGGCACAGGTTACGGAAATCCTTCATTACAGTGAGGACAGCCCGGAACAGGAGGACCCAGCCGGGAAACTGGCCCGGAATGGCTGGGGGGCCCACAGAGGCTGCCCTGAAAGCGGTCTTTGGAGAAGGAGTAGGGCTTGGCCAGGTGAGAGCGGTGAGGAGCAGTGTCCCCAGGAAGGAAATGCCTCCGTGAGGCCTTGAGGTGGAGGGCCCGAGAGTCACAGAGAGTCACAGGCGGTAGCAGAGCCCTGGGCCGGTGCACTACGCCCCGCACCCAGGAACGGACACCCGCTAACACACCTCCCCGCTTTGGGCCTCCCGCCGTCTCTCCTGGCCCTTAGAATTGTTGGGCCGAGGGTGAACGCTGTGGTGGACAGAGCACCTGGCCCTGAGCATAGCTCTCTACGTTCCCATCTCTGACCCTGGGCCAGACACTCACTCCTTCTGAGCCTCAGTGTCGTCATCCGGGAAAAGGGGACAAGAAGGCCTTCCTGGAGGGGCTGCTGTGAGCAGGGAATGAGATCACCAGCCCCGCACAGCGACCGGCCCGGAGTCCATTCCCTCCTAATCTCCATGCAGCCACAGCTGTTGTTTACTAAGCACTCCGAGGTGGGTGTCGTCACTCACTCCTCCCTCACTGTGGGGAAATGGAGGCTCGAGAGGTGCATCCCTCCGCCCCGCCCACGCTGCGCGCAAGCTGACCCTCCCTCCCAGGCGCCCATTCCCCAGCCAGCAGCTCCCTGTCCCTTGGCCAGCGCTTCCTTGATCAGAGGGGCTGTTTGCTGCACAAGCGGCCAGCAAGTGGTGGAGTTTGGAGAGGGGCCCACTGCTTTTCACTGGCTTGGAAGCCACTCAGAACTCGGGCAGATCCGGGGCGCCTCGCCCCAGCTGCTGCACGATGCCCAGGGCAGGCTGGAGAGGGCAGGCGGGATGCAGCAGGAAAGCCTGCGCGGGGGAATTAGCAGCATCTGTCTTCCTCTGACATGGGACATCAGGAATGTGCCATAGCCTCAGCAAGTGTGTGCCTGCCAGGGATGCTGCCAGGGAGGGGACGCAGGCTGGGCAGCTGAGTTCCTCTTGGCCCTCAGGAGCTACTACACGAGGCAGCAGCTGCCCCCGTCACTCTGAGTGACCTGATGGTGGTCTTCAGTGTGAAAGGGCCTGCTGGAAACTGGGGGTGTCACCTAGCTCTTTTATGGAACCCCACTTTTTTTTTCAGTGCTGGATTTCAAACCTAGGGCTTTGCACATGCTTAGGTAAGTCATCTACCATTGAGCTACAACCTCAACTGTAAGGGTGGTTTGTTTTTTTTGTTTTTGATATTGGGGATTGAACCCAGGGACCACCAAGCTACATCTTCAGCCTTTATTTTTTAATTTGAGACATGGTCTCCCTAAATTGCCCAGGCTGGTCTTAAACTTGCAATCCTCCTGCCTCAGCCTCCCAGGTGAGGCTGGAACTGAAGGTGTATTCCCCCCGCCCCCAGCACCTGGCACATTCCTCCATTTCCCCACCATTCAGTGGTGGTGAGGGGGACTACTAGGTGGGCTGAGCCTTGCCTGCCGGGGCTCATGGTGGAGCAGTGCATCTACACCATTTTATTCTAGCCCCTCATCACTCCCCTTCCCCAGGCGTGTGAGGAGGGCTGCTGTCCTGGGGAGCTGCTGCGGCAAGGCACTGGACTGATCAGCAACCGCCAATGGGAGACTAAGTTTGGGAGTGGGGCGCAGTCAGACAGTTTGCGTGTCCCAGAGAGCCAGCGCAGAAAGGAGTATAGCCCAGAGCTGCTTTGGGATCCTGCTCTGGAGCTACCTGCAAGGGAATAGGGAACAAAAGGGACACTGGAGACCCTGGGCTCGGCAGGGGCGGGGTTCACAAAGCCTGAGCCTAAGAGAACGACCGCAGTGTAGGCTGCGGGCTCCTCAGCGTACCCTTCCCAGTCGCCAGTGTGCCACAGCTGGGTGGCGGGCAGAGCAGGAGCGCTCCACTCCTCCAGCTGAATGTGACCGTCAGAGAAGTGACAGTGCTGGCCTCAGGCACCAAAGTAGCAGGATTTCGTCCTCCTGGCTCCAAATCCAGTGCCGTTTGCACCCCATAAGGGAAGACAGTTCTGAGGGAAAGGAGTGTTCAGGGTGTCCCTGTCTCTGGCCCACTGTCACTCCGATGCACAGCCCTGGAGAAGGTGTGCGTTGAGGGGAGACCCGTGCGGTGCACTGGGGCATAGTGAGCGGGGAGAGTATGTGGCAGGCCCTGCCCTGTGATGGAAGTCGCTCCCTTCCCAAGCTGCTGCTGTTTTAAAGTGCGACCCCCAGTAGAGCACCCAGCCTCACATTCTACATCCAGTCTCTCTGCACCCTAAATGTGATTTGAGCCGCCACTCCCGAGGAGCCCTTAGCAGCAGTGCAGGCAGGCTCCAGAGAGCAGGCCTTAGCAGGCCCGGGGGCTGCAGGAACGGGGCCCCGAGCACTGGACCAGGCACTGCCTCAGGCCTCCCCACGGGAAACCTTGAGATTTAGGGGCCGGGGCACAGGAGGAACTGTCAGGACAGAGCCATGGAAGGCAGGTTCCAGGCTCAGAGGACTGGGAAGCTGATCCCTTTGAGAGCGGGTCTGAGAAGAGGGCCGTGACGGCCTCCCTAGCAGAGGACCATGCAAGCAGGGACAGCTGCAGCCCAGCCAGGCGGCAACCAGCTGCTGCCTGGGAGACTGGCCAGGGCAGGGCGGGGTGGGGTGGGCACAGCTCCCACGAGCCCCGACTGTCAGTCTGCAGAGCGTGGGAGCAGGCAGCGGCCGGAGGCTTGGTTTCAGGTTTTCATGCTGTGTCAACAGTCAGCTTGGTTAGTGCTGAGCAGATGGGGGAGGGGCCGCCAGCTCCCTGGGGACAGCTCGCGCCAGGGCAGAAGGTAGCAGGGTCCTGTCCTGTGGATGGTACAGTGTGCACGCCCGTGCCCACGAATACACCCGCACCGCTGCCTACACAAGACGGTACAGTAGGCCGGATGGACAGACAGGTGTGCGTGGGTTCCCGGTCTCCCCTGAGGCAGCAATCCCAAGCCTGGCACACAGCCCGTCTATGTCACCTGGGCATCACTCTCAGTTTGGGGATCCCTCCACCTTATCTCCCCTCTCCGTGCCCCCTGGGGAAGACACCAGGCACACAAAGGTTTATTTCAAAAAAATAATTTATAAAAAGGTCATCTGGTCCTGTGTTTCGGGCAGGTTTCCAGTCCCTCAGGGGCACAAGAACCAATGCTCTTTCCGCCAAGATACCGGGACAAGCAGCGGGGACAGGGGAGGAAACTTGGGGAAATGGAGGTCAGAGGTTTTAACCTCTGATGTTGTGAAGCCGGCAGGGTTAGGACAGCATTTCCGTGGCCAGGCCAGCCAAGCCCCGGGACAGGAACTGAGTGCCAAGGTCAGGAGGCAGAGAAGAACCTTCCTAACTCTCAGGCAATTAGGACACTGGCACCGTAACTCCAAGGTAAAGGCAGGACCTTGAGACTATGGTTGGACTCTGCACTGCGAACCAAAGACAGAGCAGAAAACCTTAGCTTGGAACCCGAGGACGTACCAGACGTTCCCCAAAGGGGAACCAGCCAGCATAGTGGCTCATGCCTGTAATCCCAGCACTCGGGAGGCTGAGGCAGGAGGATTGCTGTGGGTTTAAGGCCTGCCTGGACTACATAGCGATACCCTGTCTCAAACAAACATAACATGACACAACCAAACCATACTAAGGGGAAGCCAGAGCTCTGGGACAGCACTTTGAGGACAGGTCCCTGGGGCTGCCAAAGTCAAATGCTGGGCCAGGTTTTGGCTGAGCCAGGAGCCCAAGGCCACTGGCCTACCTGCCCGAACAACCTCATGCCGCTGCTCATGTCTGTACTCCAGGGAAGGGGAAGGGGTTTGGTCCCAGTGGCAAGGGGTCGTGGCTGAAGACGGAGTCACTGGAGGAGCAAGTGCTGCTGGCATCCCCACCAGAGGGGGAGTAGGGTCCAAAGGTCAGGCGGAGGTCGAGGTACTGCACAGGAAAGAGCTGATCATCCCTGGAGCCAGCTCCACGAGGTGCTCCATGTCTGTACGGTCAGTGATAGGAGGCCCGGGCGGGGGGGCATGCAGAGGGGTCATGGGGCAGGATGGGAGCAGTACCTCCTCGGAGACGGCCAGCAGGACTTTGTCCAGTGCTTCCACCAGCTGCTTGAAGGTGGGCCTCTGGGAAGGTGCCGCGTGCCAGCACTCACGCATCAGCCCGTACCTGGCAGAGGTGGGGCGGAGGCGGTCAGGGCAGCCTCAGGCCTTGGGGAGGGGAGAGCATCAGGTCCTCAGGGTTGAAGAGGGGAAGGTGAGTCCACTGGCAGAGGGTACAGCAGCCAGGCTAGGACTCTTCAGTAGGCCAGGGGGAACTCAGAGGAGGAGGCAGCAACAGCCATGGGTCAGTGCTGCCCTCATGGCCAGGGTAGGGGAGAGGACAAGGACTGCAAATGGGGGAGGGTAGGATCAGGCCTCACAGCTCTGGGGGGCAGTGTGGGGGCCGGTCCATCCGATGCCCCTCCCGCAGCAGTGAGAACAGCTCTTCCACAGGGATGCCAGGATACGGGGAGCCCCCGAGCGTGAAGATCTCCCACAGCAGGATCCCGAAGGACCACCTGGAGGCAGGACAGCGCTCAGCAGGGCCCAGCTTCCCTCCTTGCTCCTGGAGGCTGGGACAGGGACACTGCAGGCATGATCTATGACTGGGGGTGGGACTTCGTTTCTTTTGGAGTCTGAGCCCACTCAGGCCTGATGTGAAGGAGCCCTTTTCCCTTCATAGCTTACTCTGGGTTTGACAGGATAATAGACACTTTTTTTCCCTTTGTGTTTTGAAAGAGGGTCTCACTGTACAATTTGGGCTGGCCTCAAACTCAATAATCCTCCTGCTTCAGCCTCCCAACTGCTGGTATTATAGGTATGTGCCACCACATCTGGCTTTTTTTTTTTTTTTTTTGTCTTTTTGAGACAGGATCTTGCTACGTAGTTCAGGTTCGCCTTGAGCTCACTTTGTAGCCCAGGCTGGTCTTGAACTTGCAATGATCCTCCTGCCTCAGCCTCGCAAGTGCTAGGATTACAGGTGTGTGTCACCATGTCTGGCTTTTTTTTTTTTTTTTTTTTTTTTGGTACCGGCAATCAAACTCAGGACCTTGTACTTGCCAGGCAGGCAATTATGCCACTGAGCTATATCCCTGGCCCTCTCGCTTTTAGAATAGACATTCTTATTCTGATAGTCTCAACTCCCCTGTGGGACCTGACCTATGGGTGCTGTTCCTATAAGCTCTTTTTTGGGGGGGTGGTACTGGGGATCAAACCCAGGGCCTGTGCATGCCACACAAGAGCTCTGCCACTGAGCCACATCCCCGCTCCTATAAGCTCACTGAATCCCCTGTAACTCAGAAGGAGCCCTTGAGTGCAGAAATCCTAGAGCCCAGGGATGTTGGCAAGTGCCTCGCTCTTTCTGTGGGGCAGGACAGTGACTGCTGGCAGACGTCCCAGACCCCCTGCTTCCAGGACTCACACGTCACTCTGGTGTGTGTATACGCGGTCAAACAAGGCCTCTGGTGCCATCCACTTAACAGGCAGGCGGCCCTGAGGGGGAGAGGAGCGGGAATTGTGTTGAGTCGCCAGGCCCTGCACCCCGTCCGCCCCTAGCTCTGCCCAGCCTCCCTCACATTGCTGGTTTTCTTGTAGTAATCGATGTGGTGGATGCCACGGGCCAGCCCAAAGTCAGCGATCTTCATGACGTTTTCCTCGGTCACCAGCACGTTGCGGGCAGCCAGGTCCCGGTGGATGCACTGGGGGTGGGCAGGGCAGGAGACAGGAAGCCGATTTAGGTTTCTGAGCCCCTGTAGCAGGGAGCCGTGCACACACCATCCCACAGTAAGCCCGGGCACTGGACTCATCCACCACTTTACAGATAAAGAGAAAGTCAAGGTTCAGGAAAGGAAAACTCATGCTGTCTAACTTCAAGAGCCCACGGCCTTTCTAGCAGCAGTGCTCCCCTTGCCAGCCTATGGGCTGGGGATTGGTGAGGAATGAATGCAGACCTGCAGGGCTGGCTGCATCAGGATGGGGGGCGTACAGGAAAGATCTGGGGTCCTGCAGACAGGCTAGTGAATCAAAGGGGGAAAAGGAAAAGTTGGGGCCATTTCAGGTCCCCAGCATGAGAGCGTGGAGATGGAGGAGTTAGGAGTCCAGAGCACTGTTTCCCGCACCTTCCGTGACTCCAGATACTGCATGCCTCGGGCCACCTGGTAGGCACAGGAGACCAGGGCAGGGAAGGAGAGGGGCCCCTCGCTGCTCCGAGGCCCATCAGGGCTAAGGTCGGGGCCTGGAGGACGCCTGGCGCGGAGGAACTCCCGCAGGTTGCCCTTGGCAGCACACTCCACGATCACATACAGGGGCCCTAGGGCGGAGGCCGGGGCAGGGGACAGGGAGGCTGTTGAGGCTATGGCCTGCACCCCAACTACCCCATGGCCAGCCTGGCCCCTGCCCCACCTTCCTGGGTGCAGACACCCAGCAGGTTGATGATATTCTTGTGTCGGCCGATCAGTTTCATCACTTCCATCTCAGAGACCAGGTCTGCTAAGTCCTTGTCAGAGGCGTTGTCTGTAAGGGCAATAGCAGGGGTGAGGAAGCTGCCTGCAGCAGGGAAGACTGCAGAACTGGGCACAGGTCATAGAGCATGGGACCAGGCTGTGTGGCCTTAAAATGTCTCCTAACCTCTCTGAACCTCAGGGTTGTCTTAGACAGGACAGAATGGTAGGTCACACCCTACCTCCTACAGCAGTGGCAAGAATACAAGATCAAGGGTCTGAAAGACTTAAACCTTTCAGAGAGCAGTCCAGGAAATGAGAGTGATAGGGAAGCACTCTGAGCAGGAAGGAAGCTGCATCTGCAGGGGCTGGTGCTTGTCCCTGATCAGGGTGAGCTCCCAGGGGCAGGAAACAGGCTGGCACCCCAAAGTGTGTCAGACCAGGACCTGGTGTCCATCTGGCCTTGGTATTCAGGGAGCTGCTGGCAAGGCACAGCTGCAGGAAGCTGGCAAGAAGGCTGCTCTGGCTTCTCTCAAGGAGCCTGAGGACCCGGGGCTGGGCCCCCGGGGCTGACCTGTGGCCCTGGACAATGACATACCACTTCCCCATCCACACACCAGTATCATAAAGCGTTATTTCTCAATCCCTGCCTCCCAGAAAGTGCCAGGTGGCCCCAGCTGTGCAGAGAGGAGGGAGAGAGGGGTGGTTTGGGCCGTTCTTGCAGAGGGGCTCAGGACTGCAGCAAAAGGCTCCAATGGGCAGCCTCCAAGTGTCCTGCAGAACATAGTAGGGGGGCTGCTTGGGTTCTGGGGACTTTAAGCAGAAGGCTCTTCTCCTGTCCCTAGAAGGACAGACCTAGAAATGGTCCAAGGGGGCTGAGGTTGTGTTTAGGGGAAACACAGGGTAGGCGACCTGGGAGGCTGACAAGGAGACAGGAAGCCAAGGCTGACTGGCACAGGCAGTAGCTAAAGGGGGACATACGGTTCTGCCACCCCAAATCCTCACAGTCATCATCATGCCACTGGTTAAGATTTACTGAGCCCTGACTACATGCCAGGCACGTCCCACGAACCTCAGGGTAAGACGCAGGGACTAGTATTTACCCCACGTGACAAAGAAAATTGGGCTCGGGAGTGACTTGGCAGGGTCAGCAGTGGAGTCAGACCACAGGCCCAAGGGTGGCATCCTGTAGCCTCTCCCAGCCCCCAGCACTTAGACCACTGTGCTCTAAGTGCTCCCCCAGGGGACCACAGGTACCTTTGAGCATCTTGACAGCCACGGTGCTCGTTTGGTCAGGTTGGGCAGGATCCATGCCAATGGCCTCTGCACGCACCACCTGCCCGAAGCAGCCCTCGCCCAGGGGCTTCCCGAGCACCAGCCTGCAGATAGGAAGCCGACGCCTCAGACCTCTGGGGGTCACTTCCCAGCCTGCATCTTCACCCTCCCTCTGCTCAGTGTACCTGTCCCGGGGGAACTCCCACAGTGGGTCCAGAGGGAGGTCTAGATTCACGAGGCCAGCAAGCAAGGGAGGGCCGCTGGAGGAGAGCCGGACGCCTCGAACCAGGGATGAGCTTGACTTGCCCGAGGAGCCAGACTCCAGGGAGAACTGCAAAGTGGAGGACTTGGCTCTGCCTGCTGGGGTCAGGCTGAGAGCCTTACGGGAGATGGGCGTAGGGGATGGGCATGGTACCTGTCGGCCCAAAGGGAAGCGGGACAACTTTTGCACAGTGGCAGGCTGGCGGGGGTGCCGGTTGTGGAGCGCCTGCCCGCGATACAGCCCAGCCAGCAGCAGGAGCACAGCCAAAGCCAGGGAGCCCGATGAATACAGAATGATGTCTGTATACCTGACCTCGGAAGCTGCTGCTGTCCACGTGGGATCTTCCTCTGCCCTCGCAGATGGACACACACAATCAAGAAAACGACCAGTCAGCGGTCAGACTGGCCAGGCCCTCCCCCCACCTCAGGTCCTCAGCCGCCAACACACACTGCGACACACGCTAAGAAAGCTGCAGGCATATCCAGTCCCACACACCCATACCCTAGAGCAGCAGTGGCAAACCTAAGGCACTGCGTGTTATTTGTTTTTAAGATGTTAATGTATGAGCTGTTTTTTTCTAAACTACAACCTCAGTATTCAGGTTCAATTGCAGTTTAATTACTTTATAATAAATAAGTGGGTTTGGAAAGCTTTTGTAAATGAGGGGAAAAGGGATGGAAGGGAGGGGAGGGGAATGGGAAAAAAAGAAGCAAGATGTATCACGTACAGGTACAAATTCCCTATGATGAATGTTATCACTATGTATATCTAAAATGTACCAATAAAAAAAAAAAGAAAAACGTGGGTTTTGGGTTGCAGTTTGGGCACTTGTCTCTAAAAAGTTCACCATGAGTGCCCTAGAGGGTCACAGAGTCACATATAGAATCAAACACATAGATCCTGCCCAGGGGTGTAGCTCAGAGGCACAACACTTGTCTAGCACTTCTGAGGCCACACACTGCATCCAGACCCTGTAGGCAAAGGAGGACAGCCAGCCCAATAGGCTGCAGCCCACTGCTGATCCACAGTGAGAGCCTGCAGCCTTCCTGCCCCTCAGATACTCACCTGGCAGCACCGTGAGCCAGGCTGACTGGTAGGAGAGGCCAATGGAGTTGCCTGCCAGGCAGGTGTACTCGCCAGCATCCTCGGCCGACACATTCCGCAGGTATAGGACCTCCACCTCTGAGCTATTGATGTCTGCTGTCTGGGGATGGGGCAGGCGCTCGGTCATTTCAGGGCCTGGCACACAGGGTGGCTGAGAGGCAGCTGGGGTCCTTCCCGCCCACCCGCTGGAGGCGGCAACAGTGGGAGCTGCACCTTTAGGACTTGTACATAAGGGAAGCCATCGGCCCCGAAGCTGCTGCCATTGATGACGATGTGCTTCAGCCACTGGATGTGGGGCTGGGCATCGCTGTACACCTTGCACAGCAGCTCTACGTCACTGCCTGCCACAGCCGTGGTGTTGGCCGGGAGCCCCGCCTGCAGGATGGGCCGGTGCGGGGACCGCTCTGGGGGCCAGGCCAGGCCGTCAACCCTCACCAGTGGCACCCACAGAAGCATCCTGTTTACTTGCCTCCAGCCACCCCCCAGCCCAAGGGAGAGACCGTCTTGACGTGCAGCTCAGACTACATCCATCTCTCGCTTACCCTGTTCAACTTCCACGGCTCCCCACTGGCTTTTGGCTCAAGACAACTTCTCAGCCTAACATTGAAAACCTTCCACCTCCCGGCTGCCCACATAAATGCTGCCCCCTGGCAGTGCACCTCCTTGCAGATGCGCCGCATTCTGCATGTTCAAGGCCTTAACTTGGCCTGGGCCTCTGCCTGGATGCCTCTCTGACCTTTCCTCTATGTGTGCCCTGGTCCTCCAGGTCCGCAGCCCCCGTGCTTCCCTCTGACCCACCTGGTCACTCTGAGGTACTGGGCTCATCTAAGACCAAGTCCACTTTCGGAGCCCTCCCTCCCCCAGGACAGAACTGAGCCCACGACGGGTCAGTCGCCCATATCGGCCCTCACCACCGCCCTGGCCCCTGCCCATGCGCTCACCCAGCACATCCAGCAGATAGCTGTAACGGATGCTGCCCAGAGGGTTTTCCACAAGGCAGGTGTACGTGCCGCGGTCTGAGGGCACCACGCTTTCCATCACCAGGCTCCAGTGCTGGTGGCGCAGCTGAGGGAGGACGAGATGTCCACGTGGGCCCCCCACCCCATGTCCACCCAGGAAAGCTGGGGTGCGAGGCTAGATCCTGCCCACAGAGCTCTTCTCAAGCTACCTAGGCCTGCAGGGGTCATGCAAGACCAGGGATCTTGGGCCAAGAAAAATGGCTTGAGCCCTGGGTTTGAGTCCTGAGTTTTAGCTCCACCTCTCTGTACCTGTGCTGTCTCATGCCAGTGTGTGCCCTCTCTGCGTCTCAGCCCCCTCACTCTAGCATGGAACTGACCCTGTGGGGTCTCAGGAGACAGAGATGCTGAAGCTCACTGATACCTACTAGTCAGTGATGCTTTCCACTTTATGAAAGAAATTGCTAAGGCTGGGAGGCTAAATCACCTGCCCGAGAGTGGCAGTGTGGGATCTTGTCAGGCTGGCCTCTTCACCACTATCATCCTGCCTCAGCCTCCCTTGTGCTGGGATCATAGGCATGTGCCACCATGTCTGGTTTGCAGAGTGGGATCCTGAGCCACAGCTGCCCAGATCCACAGTCCAGGACTCCCTCTCAGGCCCTACAACTGCCTTCCTCATTTGGTTTATTTACACATATGAAGGCACTGATGGGGCAATGAAAATGGGCCAGCAGATCATCTTGGAAGGCAAGACTCACCCGAATGCCCCCGATGCGATTCTCCCCGTGGAAAGCCTGTCCATCCTTGAGCCAATGGATGGTGGGCATGGGGTTGCCTGCAGCAGGACAGCGGAACTTAACCGTGTTCCCGGCAGGCACCGCATGCAGTTTTTTCTCCATACGCTGGGGATGTGTCCAGTAGGGTGCTGGAAGGGGAGGAAGTACTTAGTGCCCCCCAAATGACCACCAACTCCCACACGAATTTCTTCAGTGGCCAGATGGGCAGTGGGGACGTGAGTCTTTGCGGACTCAGACCAACCTTGCTGGACGTAAATATGCCCATTTGAGGAGTCTCTGTTGGCCTTGGGTTCTTCATCATCGTTACTTGAAGTCAAGGAATCTACATTAGGGACAGAGGTAGTTCCAAGAGGGGGTAGTCTCTCTTGTAGGCACCCCTTAACACTCTGCCATCCTCTCTTACCATCTGTAACCAAGGTGAGATTGTGCAAGACGATCATGGAGCTGCGTGCCAGACAGAGGTAGTGGCCAGCATCCTCCGGCAGAAAGCTGGCAATCTCCAGGCGGCCCCTCCAGCTCCGTACCCGGCCAGCAGGTGCCAGGCGGTTGCCCTCCTTGTACCAGTGGCCACCACGCTCCCCTAGCCCACAGCACAGCCGCACAGGCTGCCCAGGGACAACGGTCAGCTCCTGTTCTTGCTGTTCCGAGCTGGGGGCGAGGCAGGGCTCTGAGGGTGGACAGCAGAGGTTAGTGAGCCCCGCAGTCCCCTCTGAGGCAGCCCCGTCCGCACACAAACAACACACTGCACGAGCACTTTGACGCATGCTTGAACACGGTGCCGCTCCTCTGAACACATAACCACATGCCTCAGATGCTATGCACAGGGCTAAAGTCACACTTCTGGGGCAGGTCACACACATGATACTTGGCACACATGCTAGACACACCACTACCCAAGATACACACACACAAACACACATACACACGCGCGCGCGCGCGCGCGCGCACGGCCCATGCTATAGGTGTTATATACAGGACGCATGCCACACTTCTGGGGCATATTACACTCACAGTGCACAAACCACACATGCTGCCTGGCCCTTCCAAACACACACACCCAGTGCACAACACACACACACACACACACACACACACACACACACCCAAGAGGCTCACCACAGGCTCTGCATCCCAGCTTGGAGCCCTGTGCCCTGCAAGGCCAGTCCTCTCTTGTAGACAGAGATATGGAGATGTTGGCTGGGAGCCAGACACTGAATCTCTGCTTGAGCCCTGCCCGGCTGCCACCTTCTCAGGGCCAGGACCAGGATCCTCTCCAGCTCTGCTTAGTTAGCAGCCCCCTCCTGGTGTCCACACAGCCCGCCCTGCCACCCTCTCCCACCGAGGAGGCCATACCCAGGTCCATTTCCTCAGAGGCCTCAAGGGACAAGGCTGGAGCCCCAGGTGGCCCTAGCAGGACCCCCAACAGGGCCAACAGCAGCCGCATCTCCTTCCTGCTGCTCTCAAGGACTCAGGCTGGACTTCCCACTGACTGTCTTCCTAAAGCAGGAAGGAAAAAGAGCTCACGCTACATGTGTCTGTGCTGACGCTCTTCCCTGATTCTGCAGATGAGGAAACCGAGGCAGGAAGTGGTCAGCAGGCTCATCCAACGCCCCAGCCAGGCTGCAGCAGGGTGGAATCTGGATTTATCTGTGCCGCTGCCAGAGCCCAAGGCCTCCCCACAGGAGGTTCTGCAGGGGGCGAGGCTGGGCTTCCTCCTTTCCTTGGGTCCTGCTGAGACCCTGGCATGAGTTCACAGAAAGTGGCTTTGGGATTCTTTCCTTGGAGAGAAGCAGAGATGGTGACATATCTTCTCCTCGCTCTCGGCACACATCATTTAGTTTTTGCTGAATAAATGAATTTATTGCTGAAGAACCAAGTGGGGGGGGGATGAAATATAACACAAGCCAAACTTCAGCATCTGGATGCTATCTCCTCTGACCCCCACTCTTAGCATTACTGTCATTTCTATGTTCAGCTTGGGCTCTCTCAGTGGCTGGGTGCTCTCAACTAACATGCAGCACATTCCAGGTCAAGCAGGACATTCTCCCTCATTCTGAACCAGGAATGCAACAAAAAGATACTTCTGCTTTTTGGGTCCCAGTGCCATCTAAGGCAATGGCAATGGGTTTGTTTTTGTTTGCTTTGTTTTTTTTTGAGATAGGGCCTCCTACAGAATTCAGGCTGGCCTTCAACTCACTATGTAGCCCAGGCTGGGCTAGATGGAACCCACGATTCTCCTGCCTCTGCCTCCTGAGTGCTGAGATCACACAGGTGTACGCTGCCACATCTGACAATGTTTTTGTGTGTATGTGTGGTTTTTTTTTTAATTTGTTTTGTTTTGTTTTTTAGTGCTGTGATTGAACCCAAGGCCTGGCAAATATTAGGCAAACACTCTGCCACTGAGCTACATCCCAGTCCATATTAAAATTTTTACTTTGAAACAGTGTCTTTCTAATTTGTCCAGGCTGGCATCAAACTTGTGATGCTCTTGCCTCAGCCTCCTGAATAGCTAGAATTACAGTTGTGCATTACCACACTCAGCTACTAGGTTTTTTGTTTTGCTTTGTTTTGCTGCCATGCTGGGGAGGGAACCTAGGGCCTTGTGCATGCTAGGCAAGTGGTCTACCATTAAACTACACCTCCAGCCTTATTTTGTAAAGAATGTAGATTCTGTAAGAGTGGTAGCCTACACCTATAATCCTAGCACTTGGGAGACTGAGGCAGGATAATGACTTAGAGTTTGAGGCCAGCCTGGGCTACAAAAGTGAGTTCAAGTCTGGCCTGAACTGCATAGTGAAGCCCTGTCTCAAAAAAGGAGAAGAAAAATCCAGGCATGGTGGCACACACCTGTAATCCCAGCACTTGGGAGGCTGAGGCAGGAGGATCGTTGCAAGTTAGAGACCAGCCTGGGCTACGAAGTGAGCTACAAAGGCCAGCCTGAACTGCATAGCAAGACCCTGTCTCAAAAAGACCAAAAAAAGAAAAAAAAAGGAGAAGAAAGAAAGAAAAGAATGTAGATTCCAAGTG